AAAAAGGTGAAGGTTGAGACACACTTAGATGATTTCTCACTCCTGTGAGTCACAAATACTGTTCTTGCAGAGGTTGTAGTCAAAAACTATTGATGATTTAACATAAGAATGTTGTACTAGAAATAATCACAGTCTGTTATAGGAGGGCAGAAAAGGAAGCTCTATCTGAGATGGGGTCAGGATGAATAGACAGTGGTGTCAGTAAGCAGGGATGAGCAGGATCTGTTAGAGTGATTTGTCTGGGCAGAGGGACTGCTTGAGGAAAGAGATAAACAGCACATCTTGTCATCACATGCTGTATTTGTTACAGCACATACGAATGTTTGTATGTTTTCCTAATTGTTGCTAACCAAATTTTTTATTTTCAACACATTAATCTTTTAGGAAGGATAAACATATTAACTTCTTTTCTTTTTTTGTCAGTTTTCTTTAGTTCCTTTAATCCTATTGGGTTTCATGTATGTTTTGTACATATTGTTAAAGAAAAAATAACACTACCCATTAAATTGTGACATGCTATCAATTGTGAGATATATTGTGATTTCAGAAGATGTTAAAATATAAACAAAAAGTACATCTAGAATTAATATAGTATAATATTTATGTTGGAGATTCTTTAGTTTTTTTTAAGCTGAAGAAATTTTGTTAGAATGACGTTAGAAGTCACATGTCTTTTCAGCTTTAATTTTAGGAGATGCTTTAGGGAAGTGTGTTATCATCTAGGTCAATACTAGCTATCTTGGAAGCTTCTAAATTTGTCATGATTATAATGAAATCAGCTTTGAATAATAAAGATTATGGGAAATGAATTTAGCTAAAATTAGGAAAGACAGGATTTATTAAATACTATAAGATAGAATGTAAATAATTGAAGTAATATTTAGTGACTTGTGGTTAAGTTATCTGGGAGTTCTTAGCTTTTAAAAATAAATGATCAGACTTACAACTCTGCCATTTTGCCTGTCCTCCCCACCCCTCATCATATTGAACTTATGAGCTGAAAAGTCTTGGTAACTCAGAAAGTACCCCCAAATAATGTCATGCCATCCTTCATTCTGACCGTGTGTTCACAAAGAACTCTGCTTTTCAGAGAGAGCAAGTAAGCACAAGCCGTGCCTTTACAAGTGCTAAAAGGTGCTGTTTTATGAGTGCTGTGTGCGTGAGTCCTTGTCTTCCAGAAGCAAATGTTTATATAAACATTTCACTAACTCTTAGTATTGAGAACAAACCATGGGATACCTTAGCAGGGAAAGGGTAATGGATGAGGAATACAAAAGACTGTGAAGGACAGAGAGAAACAGGTACTCTAGTGGTTATTGTAATAGCTCTAGTAATAGCAGTTAAAGGAAAGGTAATTAAAAAAAATTTTTTTTTTTACTAATTTGAAACTAATTTATAAAGCATGATTTAGGAAAATGCATTATTTGATTTGGAAAAGCATAAGCTATGAAATCATATTGGAAAATATTTATCATTGCAACTGTAAAATAAATATGAATAAATAAGAATAAAAATATATTCCAGTTGTTTCTGGTAAAACTGTTGTAGCATTAGCGCTGGACTTGTTTGAACTGGATCCAGGAATTACCTGTTTGATTCCAAATTCTATTGATTCCAGGCTATTTATTTCAGTATGCAAAAGCCCTCAATTTTTTATAAATCCCTCTTATGGATTAGTAAGCAGAGATAACTGCTGTTTAATTTCTTTCTTTTTTAAAAAAATTTGTTATAAAATAGAAATGCGTTTATGAAAGAGGGATAATGCTTGTTTATTGAACAGACTGGATGTATCTTACTTTGGTTATGTGTATATATTTTTTCAATTCTAGGGTATGGTGGGGGTTCTATATTTTGTGTGTCATTCGTGTAGTTGAACAGATTTTAGTGTGCCTACCATGTGTCAGGTGCTGACTAGGCAACGAGAAAGTAAAGATTCAACAGTGAATTGCTTGGAAGAGCATAGAGTCCAGTGAAGCGAGGGAGATGTGTTAATGCTCATTGAAGTGATGTGATAAAGATATGCGTGAAGAGTTACTGGATCACAAAGGAAGGAACATGTAGCCTTCCTGGTGAGAGGAGGTAGTAGGAAGTTTTGCAGAGATGATAACTATGAGCTGAGTGTTGAAGGGTGAATAGTTTATAGGCAAACAGGAAGGGCAGAGGGACAGTGGCCAGAGAGAACTCGATTGGAGCTGAGGGACTGAGGTTCAGTGCTTGGAGGGACTAGGAACTGGAAACTCCTAGCTTTATCCTGTCATCTAGGCTTTCTCAGAGTGTGTTCTGTGGAAATCCAAGCCCCATGAGATTGTCTGGGGGGAGAAAAGAGTTAGAGACTAACATGAACATTACAGCATTAGACTCTAAGAAGTGCTCAGTAAAGAAACCTGTTTCCTGTTTATATACCGGAGAAAATGTTTTGGGAAGGGCTGCTAGGCAGTGGGGACCTCCTGAATATTTTAAGCAAGAGAATGACTTCACTTGATTTGCATTTAGGAAATGAACTGGCAGCGGTGGAGGGTAGGTTGGAGTGAGGGGAGATTGGTGACAAGGAAACCAGTTCAAAACTATTATCAATTTTGGTTACATAAAATCTGACCATCTACATAAAGATGTTTAATCTCTTTTTTTTTTTTTTTAAAGATGACCGGTAAGGGGATCTCAACCCTTGACTTGGTGTTCTCAGCACCACACTCAGCCAGTGAACGAACCGGCCATCCATATATAGGATCCGAACCCGTGGCCTTGGTGTTATCAGCACCGCACTCTCCCGAGTGAGCCACAGGCCGGCCCAAAATGTTTAATCTCAAAAAGGAATTTAGGGCACTTCCAAGAATAAAAATATCTTAAGAATGATTATACTGAGTTGACAGAGATTTTAAGTGAGAATTTTGAGACAAATGAAGGTTTTGTTTCTGACCTTTTATCAAAGATTAAATAGAAATACTTTATAATACTCTTCGTTTCATTTTTTAAAAATTTACTTTCTGATTTAAAAAAAATCTGGTTTAAATTATCCTTTGGGGTACTGTTTTTTAAAAATTCCTTTCAGTGTGATTTCTTAAGATTGTAGATCAAAGTGGCAGGGTTTTTTTTAGATTTAAAAAAATATTTTCATGTTTAAAGGCCATTTGTTTTTTGTTTTTTTTTTACTGTTATATATTAATTCATTTCCTTGGCCAATTTTTTTAATGAATTGGATTTTTGGTCTTTTTGTTATCCATTTTTAGTAGCTCTTTATATATGGAGATTAGCCATTTATTTGTAATATGAGTTGCAAATATTTTTCCCCAGTTTGTCTTTTTGCTTTGTAAAAGATTTTATATTTAATGTACTTGAATGTATCAATTTTTTTATGGTATCTGGTTTTTGAGTAATAGTTAAAAAGGGCTTCTGTGCTCCAAGTTTATAAAAAGGAATTTACCAAAGCTTTCTTTTAGAATTTTTATGGTTTTATGATTTATATATAAATATTTGATCTGTTAGGAACTTATTCTAGTGTTTGATATATGATATGAATCCAATTTTTTTCTAGATTAGTATTTTAATTGCTCAAATATCATACACTGTATAGTCTTTTTCCCTCCTTGATTTTGAGATACCTCCTTCAGCATGTATCATTTTCCCATATGTATATACAATTGGGTGTATTTCTGGGACATCAGTTTGTCCCATTGGGTGCCATGTTGTTTTGAGGCTTTATAATAATCTGATAGTTCTGTTCTTTTCTTTTCTTTTTTTTCTAAAAAGATGACCGGTAAGGGGATCTTAACCCTTGACTTGGTGTTGTCAGCACCAAGCTCACCCAGTGAGCTAACCGGCCATCCCTATATGGGATCCGAACCCGTGGCCTTGGTTTTATCAGCACCACACTCTCCTGGGTGGGCCCCGGGCCGGCCCCTGTTTTTTTCCTTTTTTTTTTTTTTTT